TTTTCATGCCTCTTGTTAGAAGATTCTAATAGAGAGGGGTCTACTTGCAACTAATTGATATGAAGAGAAAATTTGAAAAACAAGCATTGTGGTTAAAAGTAACTAATGGGTATTTTTGGACATTTTCATGCCTCTTGTTAGAAGATTCTAATAGAGAGGAGCCTACTTGCAACTGTGTTAGAAAATTCAGGAGAGGTTACTGCAATTACCAAACTTCAAAAGAGGTTTCAGCAATGATCAAAAACTTTAAGGGAGGTTGTAGTAATTTACCCTAAAATTTATGTGGCAGTATATATTTACATATGGTGGAAGGTGCCTTTCCATTCCAACTTAAGTGGCTTGAGCCCTGAATAACCAAACTAACCTGGGGTCTATGTTTTGCTTTCAGTCATCACAACTGGCACCAAATCTGAACAGTAATAGAATAATTTGACCTATTAATAAAATAATCGAAAAATTTCCCTAAAATTCCAAAACTTGTAACAATAATTTCATTTGAGCTGTGTATTGGGTTTGAAATTTCCAAAATTTAAAACTAATTCGATCCAATCTTCTTCAGCAATTTATATATTCTTCCCACAACAACAACAACAACAACAATAGTGAAATAATATTCTTCCCATATCTTTACCTCTACTAAATTGGTGTCTCTCGTATATTTGGTTAACTAGACGCAAGGTGAACTCCACATAAATTTTGCCACCAAGAGGAAGGAGTTTGGAATTAACCAAAGCCAAGTACAAAGAAAGGCTGTTGACCATGCCATCATCTTTTCCCTGTGGATAGAGTTCCACCTTCCTGCACACCAAATCAACTCTAGATAAAGACATTGAGCTCCAACTCCAACAGTAGTAAGTGAGTAAAAAGAAAAAAAGGAGATAGAAATATCAAGTGAAATTGTGACTTCATTCGTACCATTTGTGATCAGCTGCATTGAACTCTTTAGATTCAGCACATTCTTTATCTATAATTGAGAAGTTGTCGATCTTCCAAGTGTGTTTGTAAGTGATAGCGTCCCTTATCACCGACAGACATTCACCATTGCCGGTGCTTCTTTCTTTGCAAACAAACACCTCTGCTCCGAACACACAGACATCCTCAACCAGGTATCCATTAGAAGCCTCGTGGAATTCTTTGAGCGTGATGAATTGGTCAAAACCCCACTCAGTCTTCATCTCATGAAAGCGCCAACCACTCACAGTTGCCTTTGTTTCTGTAAGGAATTCAAGCAATGTAAGACGAGAATTGAGGATACCCAAAGACGCCATTCGTTTTCACTTACCTGGGTAAGTACGTTTATTCGGATAAGTGTTTCTTAGTTAAATTAAAACTTGCATAGAAAATGAGATTTCAGTGTTCTTATGTGATATAAGTTAGCCAGGTAAAGAGAGAAACAAGACAGGAGGAAAGAAAGATTGTTATCAATACACACGGATAAGTTTCTTACCCACCTCCCAGGAGGCTCTCCAATATCTTCGCTTACCTTGGGGCCCAATATAGCAGGAGATTATGATCAATTTACTGGTTGGCCAGTTAACTAACTTACCCCCAACAGGGCCACACAGAAAAAGCGGTTGGTTGTGCCAACTTTCATGGGTTGTTGGGCTGAAACTACATAACCCATCAATATATGGGTGGAAGCGGAACATATGGAGGCCTATTGGCCCCATCAAAATGCTTTCTAGATATGAATAGAATAAATCCTACTTGAAAGAGAAGGAATGCTCCTTTTGATGGTGGATGACAATGCCACATCATCCATGGTTATAGAATCTTAACCTTCTCATGATAATACAGGTGACATCGTTTTAATATACAGCCCCCGTTCGTTTTCCTTATCTTATCTGGGTAAGTATATTTACCCAGGCAAAACTTGTCCGGATAAGTGACATTACAGTATTCTTGTGTGTGGGTGGGAGGGAGAGAGAGAGAGAGAGAGCATTTATCAGTGTGCAAGTATGTTGTTTATCCACCTTGCAGGAGGGTATGAGTTACCCGGGCAAGTAACTGATACTCTCTATCTCTCGTATCCTCAATTACGAGGAAAGAACCGCCCCTGCTAAATAACAGAAAAGAACCGGCCCCATGAAACTCTTTTATAATATGAGCAAAAGTGAACTCGGCCCATGTTGGCCCATACTTTCAACCCTGCCGAATGGGAAAGCACCTAATAATTCAACAGGCTATTATGGTAGGGAAGATGGTACCTTGAAGCATCAAGTATTTGTCTTGCACCTGATCGAGCAAAAACAATCGAAACACAGCACTAACCTCCCAACCAGGGTGGAGTGTATTCGTCTCTGCCATCACTAAGTAGAGAGAAAGATGATCTTTGGCATTTTTGTTCTTGTTTCCACTTGGGTAGAGTGCTAATTTCCTTGAAAAAAAAAATTAAAGAAAGGGGTAAGAAAATACAGGATTTTATTAATGCCTCACTAAATTAGCTGAAGATTATTAATGCCTAATGCCTAAAGCCCAAACGCTTCAAGGCCAAAGTAGAAGATTTTATGCATTGATGAAATCTAAAGAACAAACCCTACCTACGCTTCTTTTAAGGCTCAGTTTGGGAGGAGTACCAATACAAATATGTAGAGTACAAAATATTGTATTTTGTATTATTTTATATGCATTTGCACTCTACATATTTGTATTTGTATTCTTTCCAAACTTAGCCTAATATACAAATATTTGTATTTGGAAGAAGTACAAAGACAAATATGTATAGTACAAATTCATACAAAATACATAGTTTTGCACTCTATATATTTGTATTTGTACTCCTTCTAAATTGAGCCTAATCTACAAAGCAGCAACCAGGGCTGCAAATGGCTTGGTATCTGTATGTCTGAATACAAATTTGAATTCAATCTGGTTAAGGGTAATCTGGATTCGATCTGGTTATAATTAGACCAAATATAGACCCACCTATATCTAATTTGATTTAATTTAAATGTGTATTCTTATGTATACTTAAAATTTATCTTATTGGCAATGTTGGTTTGAATGTTGCATTTTTACTAGAGTTATCTGTTCAAGTTTCATAAAATTTATTTTCAATATATTTTGTTCATGATTTACAATATTAATGTCATTTTCTGTTAATTCTTATTAATAATATATACTATTCTGAGTTTTTAATTTAATTTATTAATGCCATTCAATGTCCTATTTGAGACCGGATTTAGTCAGTGCAAGGCCCGTTCCAACAGCTTGTATAGCCTTGCATTGGGAATATCTTCCCATGAAATAAAAAACAGAAGTACGGAGATGTTTCTCATGCAAGGCTGTAAAGAACGGGTATGGCACTGACTGAAGTCGATCCCATCCTATTTGAACTTGATTCAAATCCTATATAAATCAGACTGATAACATTCTGTTTAAATCTGAAATTTGGATCTACCTATATCCAATTCAATCCCATCTATTTGCAGCACTATCAATTGGCACGGTGGATCAGGTTAACGTTCTTTGAGGAAAGACCAATCCCATATGGCTGCTAATCAATTTAGGGTTGTAAGTCAGGTACCCCAATTGAAGAATTTGCATTATTGGTTATTGCACATCCCCCTAACCTAGGTCTCTGCTACAACTATCTAGATAACATATCAATTGAGCCACCCTCGGTTTATGTGTTTCTCATAATATATAAGCTATATAAAAAGGAAAATTTGAAGTTCAATTACTAAAACATAAAAGAAAATTATTTTTTCTACTATTCTACATGTAAAAAAATAGAATATATAAAAAACTTTGGTGAATAACTGTTGCTTCATTTTTCTCCCTTAAAAATTATGTTTTTAAACAGGATCCCATGCATCGCACCAGTCACCACTAGTACTGGTTATTGCACACAATCTCAAGTTTTGAAGATGCGTGAGGAGGAGGGTAAAATGGTCTTATAAAAGTTCAAAACTGATTGAATACCAATCGTGGGAGAAATGTATTGTTGGAATCCGAAAGTACAAGATAGTTCTTTGTCACAAATGAAAGTTTAGAGACCTAACTATCACTACCCCTTAGGGCTGTAAACAGATCAAATTTGGATCGTTCCAACTGCATCTACATCCGATTATCGAACCTCTAGATCCGCATTCGCTTCCAATTATCATGTTGGATTTTGGATTGGACTCGGTTTTAATCTACAACCATCTTATTGTGTTTAAAATGACCAAAGAAAATAAAAAAGTTTTAAAAACCTAATTATTTTTAACTTATATATGTATAATAAATGTTTATAAATATAAAATATTTAATTTATCAATTATAAACTTTATATAATTATACTACATATATACATAAAATAATAAATTTTATCTGACTTGGATTTTAATCGCATCCAATCTGATTATTAATTAGAAGCAAGTTCTAACATTCAAATCTGGGATAATCAGATTCAGAGTTGAATTGGGTTTTGAACTCTCGAAGTCCATTGACATTCCTACTACCACTCTGTATTTTACCCTTTTGTTCAAAACTTATCATCTCATCAAGGGTTTCCTTTAGAAAAAAAAAGAAAAAGGAAAACAAACACCCAAAGACCATTCGTTCATCATGCACACTAAGAGAGTTTGTCAAAAGTATAGAAGCAAATCTGACATTACGACTCCATTTGGAAGGAGTACAAATAGAAATATGTAGAGTGCAAAACCTTGTATTTTGTACCATTTTATATGTATTTGTACTGTACATATTTGTATTTGTACTCCTTCAAAACTGAGCCTACAAACCAACTGTGTACCCTAAAACAATGTTTTAAAAACCGACCCAGAACTAGAATTGCTTTGGCCACTGATTTCCGGGTCAGTAGGTGGCCCATTCCAAATTAAAAAAAAAATGATTAAAATAAAAATGACAAAAAACCATTGTCCAGATCGAACAGGTCAATGATTCAACCACCCGAATCAGCAGGTTGCTGACCAACTCAATGGTTTTTGGCCGAATAATGGATTAAGGGTGAAACAGAACTAGTTTCCTAGATGATTCTCTGGCTAAAATAGTCTAACAGTCCAGGTCAACGATGGTTTGAAAATACTACCCTAAAAAGCGTAAGCCGTGACGAGCTCTTTCATGAGCTGCCATGCATATTCCATGTCTACATACAAAATAACCAAGCAAGAATCAAGATGAGAGATGTATGAGCTATAATTGTATGTTGATCAGCAAGGTTTAAAGTATTGATTTATAGACCCAATAAACACTTTGGGTTCTCTCCTCTCCTCTTATTAATACAACKTTAAAATTTGCTAATCCTCTCTCTTATCATTGACATTTTTATTAAATAAATGCATAGGACTGAACTCTGGTCTTTTGGTTGAAAAATAATAAATTAGGGGTGATTATGAGTTGGGCCAGGCCAGGCTTAGCACCTGTTTAAAAATTAGGGGTTGCTTAGCTTAGGCCCTGCTCGCTAGGGCTGACATTTGAATATTTTGTATTCAAATTCTATTAATAGTTCATAAATTAAAAATTAGAATTCATATGAATTATATTTAAAAATAATTAATATTGATAGGGTAATAAAAATTAGTAATAAAAAATAACAAAATATTAAAAGTAATAAAACAAATCATTTGCATTCCATATAAATGTCATAAGACTCCTACATAGAGATAGTCATTTATAATTTATCCCAACCTCAGCCTAGATTTGCACCAAGCTCACACAAAATGCGAGTAGTAGGGGTGTAAATAGATCAGATCTAATTGCATATGCATTTGCATCTAATTATTATGTTGCATTTCAGATTTAATCTACAATCATCTTATTATGTTTAAATTGACCAAAAAACTAAAAAAGTAAAAAGAAATAATTAATTTTAAAGTATATATGTAAAATAAATGTATAAAAATATGAAATATTAAATTTATTAATTATAAATTTTATATAATTATACATAATATCTATATCTATAATAATTTATTAAGATAATAATTTTTTATTGGACATAGATTTTAATCAGATCAGATGGGATTAAATCCGCATCCAATTCAATTATTAATTAGATGCAAGTTCAAGCATCCAAATCTGGGATAATCAGATTCAAAGTCTAATCGAGTATTGCCCTTTTGGAGTCCAATGACAACCTTAGCAAATAGGGCCCAAGCTAAGCAAACCCTAAGCTCGACCTTGAAGTTATATACATATATGAGAAATATTATTATATTTAGATAACAAAATTTTTATTTTTTAAATAAACTAAAATTAGACAAAAAATTTATTTGTAAAAAATCATAGTTTTGTAATTAACACAAGCAAGTCTGTCCCTATCCTAGGCCCAGATAAATATTATTATGCTAGAGGTGTGGGCAGGGCTAGGCCAAGCAACCTTCAAAATTATTGATATATTATCAAAATCTGGCCCGAGATCCTTTTATTTTTTATTTTTTTATGTTCATTGGGCTACAGAATGGGGGTAGCCCATCCCCTATAGCTCATTTGGCTTCAATATTATCTAAATATAGTTAAGAACTCAATATAATGCATGCATGAATTTTACTCGATTTGGTTCAGTCCAATTACAAATGTCACATTGCTCGTAGGGATGCAACTTAATTGGGTTGGGTCAGGTTGAGGATCAACCCAAACCCAACCCAAAATCTTAAACCTTGAGCTTAGGCTTAGATTAATTTAATTATGACTAAAACCTAATTTTGTACATTTACTAATATTTATTTTAAATATTTAAGTAATATTTGCAAAAAACTATACTATTTAACATTAATAAAGTAAAATAAATAAAATGGAACACCAACAAATCATATGGAAAAACACTTATTTTATTAAGTAATTAGTAGTAATTTATTATTATTATTGTTAAAATTTATTAATATAATTAATCCAATATACTAAATAACTAAATTATTTTTGTAACAAATTACTAAAATAAAAATTGATTAAAAAGTTAAAAAAACTAAGTGCACTTATATTGATTTTCTAATAATAAGAATAGATCCCCAAGTGTCCTAAGTTTCCTTATAGATCACACTTCTAAAGCATATATATATGTGTCTACCCGCTTGTATTTTTTTCTATGTATATACATTATCTATGGTCTTTTCAGATTTAAATTTAGTACTATTGATGAATTTTCCGGGATTTACTTGAGTTATTCTAATGTATCCATGTCTATCCACCCTATTCATGCATTGCTTTTTTGACACTCTTTTGTAAACCCACGCAAATACATGGGTTAAATAGAAATTTTATTAGGTTTGGATTGGCAAAATTGGGTTTTGAAATCAGTTTGTTTCCAACCCTCGGTTCTACATTAAGGTTTGGTTGGCTCTTAACCTGACCAAACCCATTTGATTTGCAACCCCTGCTTTATTAAGAGAGTTAAGAGAGGTCAATGGAGATTTAAAAGGAAATTTGGGAGGGGTTGTTACAAACATTAACTATCAAGGGAGGGGGTTAAGCATGATTTTATTAGAGAATAATGATGGATTTTATTAAAAAAATTAAGACTAAAAGAGGGCTTTTTTCTTTTCTAACTTACATTTTTATAGTTTAATTAACTAAAAATAGATAACCACGTATGTGAAAAATGAGAGGAACAAAAGATGTGTGCGAGCTCTGTGGTTAGAGAACCCCTCACCTATCATCTTTCCTCTTTCTAAAATAGATAAACAGAAGTGTGTGAGCTATATATGTGGTTAGAGGACCCCTCACCTGCTCTCTTTCCTCTTTCTAATATAGATATAGATTTTTACTAAATATATGTTTTTATTAAGAAATTGGTGATTACAAATGCCTCCAAATCAAAGTCATTAAGAGAGAGAGAGAGAGAGAGAGAACATACCATTTGTAGCCACCAGCCTCAAAATGGTCAGACTCATATTTCTCCATCGAAATCTTTGAAAGTAAAGAAAATGACTGTATTTTCATTGTGAAATGAATGGGAGGTTCTTTTCTAGTTGATCGCGAAACTCCTGGAGATAAGAACGCCAAACACAGAAGTTAAAGAAAGGTGGATACATAGCACAAAAAAAGTTGTTGTGGTTCAGAGGGTTTGCACTATAGAAGAAGAGAAGTTATGCAAAATTGAAAAAAATAAAATAAAAAATGCACCCATAGATCTAGAGAGAGAGAGAGTACCATCTTCCGGGCTGGAGATTGCTTGTGTGGTTTCCATAATGTTAAGAAACTTATTGTATACATAAATTAGTCAAACTTGAGTTTGTTTTATAGGAATAAAACTTACTGTATATTGATATTAGAAAACGAAAAAAGAATCTACTGTATACCATCTTCATTACTTCACTGAAAAAGAGGCAACTTTATTCCATTCTTAGTCCGAGACCGAGCTTAATAATAAAGAAAAAACTCCAATTCTGTAGTAATTAAAGGGCCATTTGATAATAGAAAATTGCTGAACTGAACAACTTATTACTTTGCATAAAAAATTAATAATTCAAATGTATAGTAATCTACCCAATTTAAGATTCAGACATTAAAGAAACCACAAGAAGAACAAAATGATAGGTATTTCAATTCAGCCACTCCAGCAGTCAGCAAATGGCCCCTAACTGTGGGTTTTCCTTAAAATGACAAATAACATTTTACTCTGATCTTAGCTTAAAATCCTGGGACAGTCATATTCCCTGCAAACTATGAGTGGCCGAACCCGGGTTGCTTGGCCTGGGTTTTATTTTATTTATTGATTGATTCCATGGAACTACAGCCCATCCCCATGATCCATAAACCCCTTAACCCTGGTGATCCCAGCTCTCTGCCACAAACAACCAAAGACCTTACTAATTGAGCCAATTGGCACCTTACTGTGCTTTGGCATAGGTCCTTGCCTTAACAAGGTGATTTGGGTATATCTTTATACTAGAAAAGAATCTTATTCCAACATAAACAAAGGCATAAAAGTACTAAATGGCTTAATATTTGTACGACCCATGCGATACATAAGCATTGTTAAGGAAAATTGAGAGAAAATGAACCTTATTATAGATAAAGCAATTGATTGACTAAAAAGTTAATTTAAATGAATGTTAATTGTATTAATAAAATATTTATTAATTATTATTGGCAATATATGGGTTTTATTTTTCTCGTAAACAACCTTTGAACTTTGCAAAAAAAAAAAAACATTATGATAAATTGGCCACTTTAAGGTAAAAACAGATGACATTAGAGACGTCATTAGCAAATCTGTTAGACAATGAATAAAAAAATAAGAGCGT